ATACATCTCAGGGAGCCCCCCAGAATATCTCCCCAGGACAAAGACCAGCAACTAGTATTAGGTCCCTCTGATTAGAGGGGCAAGAAAGCAGCAAATCTGGATAGAAGCTGTACCAGACACCCAGACAAAAGGAGCCTTAGCACTGTTTTCTGATGATGGAATTATCAAGGCATAGTGTCCGTGAATAAATAACTGGAAAATAGATACAGGGACCCGGGAAACATGAAAAGCAACACAATATACTTGAAGGTGAAGAAGAAGGAACAAAAATAATTTCTGGTAATAGCAGAATTTATGTAAATTTTATAAAATACAGACAAAATTCAAAACTCTGTGGTTGTTACTTGGCAGCAAACTAGGCCCAATAGATAATAGAAGTAGATCAAATGGAATCATCTAGAATATAACACTGACAGAGAAGGAAGAAAAGAAGACAAAATCTATTTTAAAAAACAAACTGTAAGGAGGCGTGGAAAGCATAGCTACAGGAAAGGAAAGAAGAAAACCCCAATGATAAATGGCTGGGAATTTTCCAGAAAAGAAATGGCAATGATAAACGACAATCCACACATTTTAAGATACACAGAGGAGCCTAAAGAGAATAAAAGGAAGTGCACATTTAGCTAGAGCATAGAGAAGGTGCCCCCCACCCCCAAAAAAGGACAACTTTTGAAAAGCCTTTAAAGGGAACAGGGGGAAAAGATGATCTTCTGAGGATAAACTGAAAGAGAGATAAACATCTAACTAATCTAGAGCAACCATACGGGGTGTGAACACAATGAGCCTTTCACAGAGCTCTAAAGAAAGACCTCCAAGCAGGACGTCATACAAGAAAAATGCGGGCTTCATCGTCAGGCAAAAGCAGAGAGAGTTTGCCACCAGCACACACGCTGGAGAAAACTGTTGAGTTCAGTGAGAAATCGAACACAGACAGAAGGACTGAAAATGAAGAAAGAAAAAACAAAGACAATCATAAATATGTGGGCAAATCTAAGTAAACATTAAAATAGCAATACTAAGGTCTGGTGGGGGTAATAAGAGAGAGAGAAATAAACAGCAATGAAAACTGTCATTACCTATTTCCCCCAAAGAACAATAAAGTACATATATACATATTTCTTTTAAGAGAGAGAGATGCAAATCAAAACAAGAACAAATGAAAACTATCAAGCAAACAATATAGGGGGGAGGGAGGGTGTTTCAAAAGTTAAAGGAAAAATCCATTTTCTTTTCATTGCATTTCCTATAACATGTTACCCAAGGGAAAAGTAGTATTTTTTAACTTTACGTTTTAATAAATTAACATGCATGATATAAATTTCATGGAAGTAATAGAAGAACAAAGAGGGCAAGGGACCTCAAAGAGATCATGGTAAAAATGATTAAAAGTCAATGAAATTTGTTTCACTAATGTTTTGAAGCCCCCTAATTATATACATGCCAAGCTTACACAGAGGAAAAAGATCAAATAAAATAATCAGTCAATATGTATGACAAGTACAAAGCTAAAGATGACAGAATTAATCCAAACATACCAATCATTGTGTTGACTGTAAATGGAGTACGTGTTCCAATGAAAATTGAAAGACTATTCATGATAGGTTTTTAATAAACATCATAGAATTACCTGAAACAACAGATTGTTGTCAGTTGTACCGTGTCCCTCAAAAACGTGTTGAAATCTGAACCTGTATATGTAATACCCCATTTCTGGGTTAATGAGGTCTTGTTAATGTTGGATGTGTCTTTAACCTAATAACTTTGGAGTTAGTTAGAAAACCAGATCAGACACATAGAGAATCCGGAACAAACAGGGTAAAGACAGATGCTATGTGGCGACTTCCACAGCCCTGAGGATACAGGGGTTATAGAAGCTAAGACCAGTGTCCCTCCTAAGAGCAGGCAAGGAGACGTCCCTTAAGGGCCAGCGTCCTAAATCAAACCTCGCAGGGTCCTGCGCTAGGAGGAACCAGTCCTCCTCTCGAATATCACCCCAGTGCGGTATTCGGCTACGCAGTCCCCACAAACTAAGGCAGAGATCCTGAAAGGAAAAGAATTTGAATCGGATCTACCAGGCACACATCAACCCAAAGAAAGTTTAGATGAGTACATTAAGATTGGCAGAGCAGACCTTAAAGCAAAATACACAGGATGAGAGATCAAAACTCACTTGTCCATGAGAAAAAGATAAACCTTTGATTCCTTAGGGTGGGAAAACGTATCACATTGATACAACGATGAAAAGCAGGCAGTACCAGGCTAGGTCATTTAGAAACGCGTACCTGGGCTGACAGAGGAACGCCAGGCAGTGATCACTGAGCGTGGGGAGAGTGGCACCTTTCTGGGAGGGAAAGGACTGCGAGTAACCAAAGCAAACGGGGCTGCTGAGAGCAGATCTCAGGGTCACCAGATGGCAGTCAAGTAGTTATCTCGATTGCAGGGCATGGAAAGAAGCCTTTCACCCCATGTGTGCTTCACGGTGTGAAATGCTACCCCTCCTGTCCCACTACCACCACCAGTCATAAAAGCAAAAGCAATGTGATCAGAATGGGAACATGAAAAAATAATAATCAAGAGGATAACATGCTAAGAAAACTTCTTAAAGTAAGCCAATAAAAACTGGAAAAGAAAGCTTTCTGTCACTTTTAAAGAAGTGTGAAAAAAAAAAAACCCCCACAGGAACATTTCCTGCCTCCTGGGAAGGTGATGTTATTCCTGTGTGAATATTCTAATCCATGGGAGTTAGTTACTCTTCTAAATAGTATCCCACAAAAACTTGAACTAGTTTAACACGGGCAACCCCAGAACTTAGTTGATGGTATCTAATTTTAAAAATAATTTCAAATGCATTACAAATGGGAAGTTAGCATTTGGGGAGATTAATTTTCAGAGTATGAATATACTATAAGCCCAGACCGGAAGTGAGCTCTCTTCGGTGGGTGGTCAGGTGGGGGGAGAATGGCAGTTTGGGGGGATGCATGGCACTCTGTGTCTAGGAATGTCACAGCTACTAACTAACTGGTGAAACCCGATTTGGCATTTCACACCGGCGACCCTTGTCTCTTTGTATCCTTTTCTCTGAGCCTCCTGCTCATGAGAACCCAACCTCCTGGCCATCGAGTTGGTTTTGACTCCTAGCAAGCGTTCAAGACACAGTGGGACTGCCACCTGGGATTTCCAGGGCGGAAAATCCTGTCAGAAGTAGATTGCCACACCTTTCTCGGAGGTATTGGCTGGCGAAGTGGCATGACCCAGTGGTTCTCCACCTTCCTAATGCCATGACCCTTTCAAACAGCTCCTCATGTTGTGGTGACCCCACCCCCTGAACCATAACATTATTTTTGTTGTTTTTTCATCACTGTCATTTTGCTACTGTGATGAACCGGGTGACCCCTATAAAAGGGTTGTTCCCACCCCCCTCCCAAAGGGGTCGTGACCCACAGGGTGAGAACCGCTGGAATGGCCAGCCTTGGGGCTATGTTCAAGTGCTTACACTGCCCCATCAGGGCTCCTAGGAAAACACAAGGCTAGTCTTTTCTTTCCTCTTCCCAAGCCAGAGCCCAGTGCCCTGAAGGAACCCTCAACTGGGGGCAATTTTGCCTTCACGGGGACATTCAGCAACATGTAGAGACATTTTTGGTTGCCACGATCTGGGTAGGGGTGAAGGAAGAGCTCCATCACCAGGTGATACAGATAACTTATACATTCCATAAAAGAAAAACAAAACAAAACCCACTGCCAGTAAATCCATTCCAACTGCCAGGATCTGGATCGGGTTTCCAAGGCTATAACCTTTACGGGTGCAGACCACCTCATCTTTCTCCCGCAGAGGGGCTGGGGGGGTTGAAAAATTGACCAGCCCCACCAGGGCCCCTTACCTACTCCAGAGCAGAGACATTACCCCATGTCCTATGTCACCTGCGCTGTGGCTGAGAAACCTTGCTGAAGGCTTATACTATTCATGATGGCAAGTCATCAGGCAGAAAGTGAGAGAAGGCAGGCGAGAGGAGGGATAGGGTGGGAGGAAGGTGTGAAACAAGAGGTACATAGAATAATGAATGAAGAAAGCTAAACCCCAACCAAGTCAATATGGCGGGAAGGAATTTCCTATATTCATCCTGCTGGGGATGAGGGTTGGAGGGAGACAGCTTTTCTGAATACTTATTTCATTATAAGGAATATATAGTTGAGTTAGTTAATTGTGCCAACCTGGCTGATAATCAGATGTGGGGCTAATTGAAAGGCGGAGGGATAAATGGGTGGTGAGCCTCGCTTTTCTAGTTCTCGGGTCTCTTGCTTTGTGATGGTAGCACCAGGGTGCAGCTGCCTTAGCAGTTCCCTGCTTCAGCTTGCAAGATTGACTTCCTACAAGACATCCCCAAGGAGGAGCTACATGGACCAATCCCGATGTAGCCCTGGGTGCTGGAGCAGCCGTGTGGAGACCCCTGGTAGTGCTGAGATGCTTATTCGTTCACTGACTCAGCTTTCCTCGTGCAGTTGGCATCATTGCCTCTGTTTTGTGAGGTGGAGGACTTTGTGGACTGGTGTTGGGTTAATGGGTTGGACTTGTGGGCTTAGGCAGCATTTGGGTTGGGATGTTTTCCTGATGCACACTTTCTTTACATAAAACTCTCTTATACATGGGTTGCTGTGGATTTGTTTCTCTAAAGCACCTAGACTAATACAATAGGAATACCAAAACCAAACTCACTGCCATCAAGTTCATTCTGACCCACAGCAACCCGATAGGGCAAGGGAGAGCCGCCTCTGTGGGTTTCCGAGACTGTAACTCTTTACGGGAGTAGAAAGCCTCATCTTTCTCCTGAAGAGCAGCGGGTGGTTTCAAACAGCTGACCCTATGGTTCCCAACGCAACACATAACCCACTATACCACCAGGGCTCCTGATATACGAATAAGCAGCTATAAAACTAGGTCTCTTTATATACAGAATTTCCAAGTGAATGAAAAAAATGCTTTCGCAAAAGCTGTTAAAACTCACCGTAGAGCGATAGTCTTTCAATAAAATGGGATACTGTATTATTGCTTCGAAGGCTGACAACGTGATCTTGATAAATTCTTCTGATGCCGTGAGTCCTAGGAATACAGTTAATTATTACAGGTTCATTTGTGCCTGTCCTGAACTACAGTGTAACAGCACTTCAAACACACATGTATGCTTCAGGGTGTACTCACCTATGGCTCCATCTATGTTAGTTTCTCCTGAGTCTACTGATTTAATATGACTCTGTAAAGAAAGTAAACATATCAACGAATGGATGTTTCAAAATAACTCTGAAATGAAATATAGTTCATTTCTGCGTTGCCCAAAATTATACCTGTCATTTTTAAAGAAATAAGTCATGGACAATATGAAATACTACTTTTTTAATGCATTTAAAATGTAGATAAGACTTTCAAATCAAGATTTTAATATTTAAAAACATGATTACACGCTACACATAAATTACGATAATCATCCTAAGGTATACAAATCACTAGTAATGAGATTTAATGTTGAGATATTTCATGTTGAAATACTAATGTGAGTACAGAAAGGTCACCCTGAAAAAAGGCAAGGATCACTCAATTGATATATAACAATTTCTGGTAACGTCTCCACTTGCTAACTCACTCACTTGGGGTTCATGAGAATGGCGTTTGAGCGCGAAGCCTTAGCTACCCTAGGACAGAGTGCACTGGGACACAGCAGTGCATCTCTCCACGTCTGTCTCCAAATTAGACCACTGCTCCTGGTCTCGCCTAATAACAGACATGCATAGAGTTTCACCTAAAATCACTCAAAAAATTTATGCAGCTGCACACTGACAGGAACCTGTCATCAATCCAGGCTAGATTCAAAAGAGGCCATGGAACCAGGGTGTCATTGCTACTATCGGGTGGATCTGGGTTGGGAGTGAAGAACACAGGATACCAGGAGGATGTTTGCCTATGTTTTATTGGCTGTGAGAAGGCATTATGGAGGGTACTATAAAGAAGGGAAACTCCAGACCATGGAGTTTCTTGAGGAACTTGTGCAGAGACCAAGAGGCAGTCGCTCAAAGAGAACAAAGGGACGTTGTGTGTGTCAGGGCTGACTTCTTTCCTTATACGTGCTCAATGTGGATGCTGAGGGCATCTTAGCTTGGTGACGTGAAGAGAACTTGAAGCACTTCCGGATGAAGATCAAATGACTTCAATATGGCTTACAACTCAACGTAAAGAGAACACAACTCCCCACAATGAACAACAGAATGACAAAGAAAAGATGAGCTGTCAAGGATTTCGTGTCACTTGGACAATCAATCAATGCCCACGGAAGCAGCAGGCAGTAAAGGAATTAAAGGATGTTTATTCAAGCTCTCTTTCAAACTCACTGCCATCAAGTCAATTTGGACTCAGTGACCTTTCAGGACAGAGTACAACTGTCACTGTGGGTTTCTGAAACTGTAACTTTATATGGGAGTAGACATCATATCTCTCTCACGGAGCCGCTGGAGGTTTTGAACTGCTGACCTTGTGGTGAGCAGCCTGGGGCAGTTACATAATTTCGTGTCATCTTGAAGATATATAAAAGTGCAGGGGTGGAGTCTAGCCTGTCAGTCAGGTCAAGACCTGATGGTGCCTCCTGATGGGCGTGGCCTTCTCAAAAGGAGGGTCTGGAAACCTCCCCCCTCTCTCTGCCTTCACCTTCCTGCTGGCTGACCCCGAATGCTGCAGTCGCCACCGTTGGATCCACACGACTTTGTCCCCACCGGCCTGTGATGTCCCTGCATTCTGCGTCATTGCATGTGGCTGCGTGAGTCTGATGAGGGGCTTATAGCTAGTATTGGGCTTATGAACTTGAGCAGGACTGGGCTGGGTGGGATGTCTCCTTGATCTACAATTGCTTCTTGGTATAAAGCTCTTTCTTACACACGAGTGTCACTGGATTTGTTTCTCTACTCAACTTAGTCTAACACACACAGCCCAACACATAAGCCAGTATGCCACCAGGGCTCCTTGATGGGTAATTATGTTTAGCCAAATCTGCACGTGGTTCGAATCCACCAGCAGCTCCGTGGAAGAAAACTGTGGCAGCATTCTTCCATGACAATTACAGCCTTAGAAATCCAATGGGACAAGTCTACTTTGTCTTGGGAGGTTGACTCAAAGCAACCTGAGTCAATTCTGACTCAATGGGTTAGATAACCCCGCTACAGGTAATACCAACCTCTTTAGCTGAGCTCCCACCCAGCAGGCTCCCTCAGCCACTGCAAGACTCCAAGCACTACTGTAGAGACAAGTCTGCGCTGCTCAGCTGCGGCTTCCTGAGGCTGGAGCTCCCTGGGAGACTGTCTTCTGTAACTGCTCTAGCGAAATTTGGTACTGTGACCCTGACGTGAACAATCACTACACAGCAGAGCAGGCCAGAGCTCCAAGTCAGTGCTCGGTGGGAACAGGGCCACAGAGTTCTTGCCCTTAGCTCATAAATACTACATAATACACATGTAGTATTTTATATGTGATAGGAAATAGCCAGACTATACTATAAAATACTGCCGAAATAAAATACATGTAAGAGCAAGCAAGTAGCTGAGATCAAGAAGTCGTTCTGTTCAGATCAAACGGTTTTACTTATAATATTTAAATAAAGAGAAAATATAGATCGCATATACAAATGAAAATATGTGCACCTTTGTTTTCAAGCCTAACCAATAAACCCTTGGAGCTCACCATTCAAGAAGGCACTATCTACTCTCTGTACATGCAAGTCTATCCCACCCACCTGCCACTCCTCCAGGGATAGCCACCATCACAAATTTACCATTTCCTTGGTTATTTTTAATATGAGTAGCTTCCAAAAGTTCATGGAAAAGTAGAACTAAAAGGTAATGGTATTTTTCCATGAGCTTCCTGGAGCCCCCTCATAGTTATAACCATGCATACAAATGTCCATATGTAATTATATTGTTTGGGGAATTCTTGAGCTTTATTGAAATAGCATTAAACTGCATAAAATAGATACAAATAATTCTTGAGCTTTATTGAAGTAATATCATAAAATTGCTACAAGTGAAACATAATGCAGCCATTAAAAGGTCAAAGAATTTCTTAATGACATGGGAAAATACTTATGATCCGATGTTAAATGGAGTCAAAGTGCAATATAAATCTGCAGTACGTGTTGGTATGTTATATACATATGTTAGGCCATACACATAAGTAGGCTATTATACATACGAATACATACACATGAATGAAATTACTGTAAGAAAACCTAACTATTTTTGTCTCTGGGGAATTAGGGTGATTTTAATTTCTTCAAATGCCACTGTAATTTTCTGTAATCTTCCAAAGCATGTGCATTTTATAACTTAAATAAAAAGCACACAGTACATTTAAAATAAAGCCATTTATTCTCTCAGAACAAAGCAGCAGCAATTTGAAAGCTGAAAATAAGAAATTTGTTAGATTCTCTCATTTTGCCAAAGAATAAATAAACAAAAAGAGTTTAAAAGCTGAGCTAATGAGAATATAAAGCTTTTCATGATAATATGGCTGAGAGAGTTCTGGTTTCCCCAAATTGCAATATAGGCAACTAACTTTTATTGCCTACATTTTTACTAGGACCTGAACTTTTAAAATCTCAGAGATTTTGAGAGTACTGAAGTGTCTATAGATTACTCCGTAAACGAGGAAGAAACAGCGCATTTACTGGTGAGGGGAACAATGCCCTTGTGAGGATGGCATCCGGGGAAACTACTAGCAGTGAGAATGCTGAGAGAGGAGGTTTCTACTCTTCATTTTCTGCTTTATGTCCTGTTAGAATTTGCTAAATATGCATATGGATTATCCTCTTATAAAATGTAAACCAGGGTTATGTGGATGGTGAATTTAGTGGTTTCTTTTAGCTTAGTTTCTTCCTTATACTTACCTATTTCACTAAAGAGAATGCCTACTAAATGTTGCACCAGTGTATTCAGCTGAACATCTTCAGGTAGATTTGCTCTGCGGTCACAGGATGACAGGAAATAATCACAGAGAGCGAGGAACAGAGTTTGAGGCATTACCGATTCATGGAGAGAAGGCCAGAGCAGTCACGCAGGTGAGCATGAGGTATATACATTAGGAAAAGGAGGCAGAGACTCCGGCCGGTGAGGATGGCTACCATGAGATGAGCATTCGTGAATTTAAAGTGACAGAAGTCATTTCCATTGCATTTTTCTCCAACCATGTTCAGCCTCTCAAAGCAGGGGTAAGTGGAGAATTAAATTTAACCAGGATCAGGGGACGCGAGCAGAAGAAAATGGAGTAAAGAAGAAAAAGAGCAGACAGTTATGGGTATATGCTAGGAGTAACTGATGCCCAGCCAGCATCTCTAAGCCAAGTTAGGGAAACATGAAGCGTCACGTAGCACAGGGACGGGGACCAGTGTGAGTCTCCAAGGAATGGTAGCGACCTGGGAGTTGGAGAGCAGAGGAAGTCAGTTAGAAATCAGGGGTAGAAGCCAGACAGACAGACAGTCTGCAAACAGTTAATGTCCTCAGCTGCTAACTGGGAGGATAGCAGTTCTAGTCCACTCGCAGGTTCCTCAGAGGAAAGGTTTGGTAAGAAAAAAACTTAAAGCTCAGTCATTAAAAGCCCTGGGGTACAAAGCATGCATGCGGTCACCAAGTCAGTCAGTGATCTGCAGCCAATAAGGGTTCAAGGGTCTAAGGATGTAGGCAGGCAGCTAAGAAAAGGGAAGACAAGTGGGCGAGGAAAGAGAAGGCACAGGAGCTGAGAGGCGGGAGAGTGTTGTGAGGGTCTCCTCCCACAGGGTTATCAGTTTCTGCATGCTGAGGGTTCTCCCAATGCTGACTAACGTTGAGGAATGAAGGGCAGGACGGCAGAAATCCACAGATGACTGCAGCCCAGCAAGGAACAGCAGAGACCATCTGGCGGAGCCTCCGCAGAGGAGCAAGGGGTGAGGCCGAGACGGGCTCCCATGGAGAGGGCAAAAGGAAGCTGTTCGCCGGCCAGGGTCAGTGCTCTTCAGAAGCAAAAGCAGCACTCTCTCAAAGGAGCGGCAAAGAGCTCCAAGCTACAAGTGTGCACAAAGTCACAGAACGGAGGATATGAATGTGTGTTTTGTTAGGAGGCGGGAGAGAGGAAAAGGCAAATAGAAAAGTAAACTATTTGTGCAGCACAAAGGAAATGCATCGTTATCATATTTAAAACGATATGGGTTCCTTCTCTCTTCCTATACAACAGAAGCTGATGTGT